TGACTTTGTTTCATTTCACTACTGTCAAAATATGGTATATATCATAGTATTAAACCTAGGTAAAATGGTTCAAACGACATTTTTATATGGCAACTATGGAGTGAAACCATAGTAAATAGTTCATGAATGCATAATTATTTGACAGTCAAAGCACTATTGTTACACAGTAAAATAGGAGTGAATCCAAAGTCGTTTCACCGTTATTTCACCGTCGTTTCATCGTCGTGTCACTGTCGATTCACCGTCGTTTCATGTTCCTTCCTCAGTCGAATAACGCTCCTTTGACCGCCTTTGAATAATAACCTACTCACGAAAAATTCCATTTGAAAATGCTAAAATTCTCCAAAATTAAAAATTTAGCATTTTGAGGACAATAATAATTTAAAGTAAAATGTAAGGTTTTTTTTTTTAATTTATAAACTACTAACTCATTGATACACTACATATAAGCTTTTATTTCAATACAGTACATATGAGTTTTTATTTTAATGTAATTAACTATCTTATTTTTTATTGTCAGGTATTTTTATTATTTTTTCGTACATTATAATCTTTGGTTTTTTTTTAAAAAAGTACTTAAATAAATATTTTTGAAAAGTTAAACTTTTCTCTATCTTCTTTTTATTGATTTAATCATCTTATGACTGTTTTAGCCACTCTGAAACCCAAGTTTTGATATTAATGATCGCTCTATCATTGTCTTTGAATACAGGAATAACTTTGTATTCATCAAGTGCTGTCATAATTTCTATAAATAAAATAAAAGTAATTAGTATAAAATTAAATTTAACCAGTTGGATTATAAAATTTTTAAGTAATTACACTTACTAAGTATTTTTACATAGTCAGTCTCTTGAACTACAGTAGAGTCCGGTTTTTTTGGATCATATTTTACCAAAATTTTCTTTTTGTCTTCTTTGGACCACATGGTTCTCATGATTTTTTTAGCTCTACGACAATTTGTTGTCGCGTTTAATGCTTCACTGAAATCATTGAAACTGAATACAACATCTTGCATAATCTGGACCTAAAAAAAATCATTAGAATAGATGGTAACCTTATATATCAGGGGAGAGGGGAGCAGCATAGAACAGGGGCAGTTTTGAATTATTAGATTCATTAACGCATCTCTATTTATTAACCCCTCTATTCCCTATATAGAATTTTTATTAAAAATAGCACTGTAAAAAATTTTGTAGTAAGAATGGATTTCGGAAACTCCACACGCTGTAAAATGGCAGTGTAAAAATTTTGTAACGTTTTAAAAAATTATTATTATTTAAATTTAGGAAACACAAAAAAATAATGTGAGACCTTTCTTTATAGAGAATTAAATTTCCTACAAAAAGGTTCTTCTCAAGTAAACTCTATCTCTTTGTTTTTCGCCGCAAATTTTGAATTGAAAGTTTCAATTAAGTTATACAACTGATCCATTCTGTTTATAAAAATTTTAAGTACTTGTTGTGACTATATCCTTATTAAACAAAATGATTTCACAATGTTGAATGCCCATAAGAGGTATGATTGTAAATGATTTACATGATTTGACAGGATTAAAAATGATTAAAAAATTAATTATTTTTAAATTAAATTTAAATTTTTTATTTCATAAGCTTTCCTTTATTTGTATTTGTCATATAAATATTAATGTAAATATTAAATTAATTTGTAAATGAAATTTTTTAAAGCGTTTATTTTTAAAATTTTTTTATTCTGAAAATTAACTACAAATTATTAAATGTAATGTGAAATATCGGCAGTTTCACATCTTTACTCCAGATTACTCAACTCTGTGACATACTGTATTCAACACAAAAAATTTAATAAAAAAAAAAAAAAAAATCCTTACTCAATTCTTTCACTACTCGAAACTAACTTTACTCAACGCTAACTTTACTCAGTACCAATTGTATTTAATGAATTCTTTACTCAATAGTATTTTATAAGTGATAGCGCGCTTTTAAAAATCTCTATTCAATATTTTGTTATTTAATAATATTTTATTCGACAAAAACAAAACTGTACTCAACATTTCTCAGCTCTGTGCAATCTGTACTCCAATAAAATAATTGAATAAATTAAAAAAAAAAGTTTTTACTTTATATAGATATATAAATTATATATAATTGAGTAAAGTTGACGTTGAATAAAGTTTGTAAAACAATATAATTTTTTTTTTAAGAGTAAAATTATTGATTGAAGTTTTTTTTTTATTCATTTAAAGTAAACATATTATTAAACAAAAAAAATTTGAATAGAGATTTTTAAAAGCGCGTCAACGCTTATAATATAGTATTGAGTATAAACGAACGAGTATATACGGTGAAAAGACGGTGATTTCACCGTGAGTTGACGGTCGAACGATCGTCGAACCGTAATAGATCCAGTGATGTCACTATGAGTTTATCAGGTGTTCACCGTGAGTTGACGGTCGAACGATCGTCGAACCGTAATAGATCCACAGTGATGTCACTATGAGTTTATGAAGTGTTCACTTTGAAAAAATCATTTTTCCGCAGTAGAAGCACGTCATACTGACAACAGAAATGCTAAGCTTTCACGAATTAGGAATGGTCTTTTCACCATAGAACTGCTGATAAGTTAACATTTATTTACCATCCGTAGATAGTGACGCTACAGAACGAATGCACTGTTTCTCGACAGTGATTTCACCGTACTATAACCCTAACTAGATAGTGAAATAGCCGTCACGTGAAACGACCGTGAATCGACCATCTTTTCACTATGGACTCACCGCGGATTTACCGTAAGCATGAAACCGCCAGGGAATAGATGAATAACTTTCGAGTCAAGTTGTTAATAAAAATATTAAACGCTCATATTATAGTTGTATTATTGAGCTTTCATATTTTATTAGCCGTCATTTACTAATTAATTATAATAAACGCAGGATCAATATATTTATTTTGAACGCTGCATAAATATTTAAATTCCTTGTGTGTTATCTTATTCGTCATTTAGTCAACAAACACTATTATATTCACTACATACACTTTTGGTATTATGTGTAAATGAATTATTTTTTTTGTGGGTTGCCAGTACTCAGGCAGTACTGGCAACCCATAAGATTACCGGATTAATACAATAAAAACATTCACCCGCGTACCGTAGAAATAATTATAACTTTCACTTTTGTAATTTATTTTAGATTGTACAGCCCGGTAAAAGCAGTAATTGATTTTTTGGACATCTATATAATTAAATTAAATACTAGATTTACATTCACGGTTGTATTTAGGGTTTTTTTTTAAATCACGGAGATTTTCCAACAAGCGAAAACCTATTTCCGTGACTGTAGTTACATCCACGGGTGCAAATAATTTTCCTTCCGTGTTTAATATATGTTCCGGGACCCTTATGTCATCCACGGATTTCATCCGTGTCTGGTGTCAATAGACACTCCGATAATTGAATAATCAAGCATAAATTATCTGGAAAAATATAGTCATAACTGCATCTAGAATGTATTATTGTCTTTATCACTTAAGGTTATGTTGATAACCATTAATATTTGACATCACCTAACTTCAATAAAACTTATTAACAAGTATCACTTAGTAACTCAAAAAGATTCATTCAGTGATATGAAATAATTGCGAGAAACTTATTAGTTACCAAAAATTTATTGAATTTCTTATACATTTGCTATCAAATTTTCAAATGACATAATTAGCAGATTTCAGGACTCGATATAAAATATATTATTGTTTTTGGAAAACCCTCTTTACAAAATTAATTTAGAAATTAATTTATATTTTCTGACACAAATCACAACTAGTATATAGCAATAAATAATGAAATCTATGTTCCAACAAGATTTTTCACATTGATTCACTTTCTCTGTTTTACATATTGTGAAAATTTCTTTATAATGGTAGTTTTAAGGACATAAAAAAAAAATTGATTTTGCATTTTAATCATTTTCATAAATAATTTTATATAAAAAATACATTTTTTCTTAACTTTAAAGTTAAGAAAATTCAATTGACATTTACGTAAACAACGATCGTGAAAACGAACCTAAAAAAAATAATTTTCTTATTTTTTATTTTAATTATTATTATTATGCGTCAGCATTGACAGCTACTTCTAATAACGCGCGTAATTTGAAATACATAAGCGAGTTTCAAATATCATCATAAAGTTAGCTGACACCTAGAAATTTTTATAACTTTTTTTATCGAAAAAATTATAACAAAATAATGTTTTAAGAATTTCACTTGTAAAAAAATAAAAAAACTGTCAGTTTAATTAAAAAAAAATATATCTTAACTCTAATTTAACAAATGAAGCAAAATCAGAAAATTAAAAACGTAGGCTAACTTTATCATTATTTCCAAAATAATAGTCTTAACTACTATTTTGATTTACAAATTTTTAAAATTTATCTTGGTTATTTAGAGAAAAATTATTATTCAACAATTAATTAGTCCATATTTTATAAAAACATGTAACAAATTTTAAATACAAATATCTCGAAGTTAGTGCTTATTTTTTGTCAAAATTGAAATAAAACGATTTTTTTTTTTTTAATTAAAACGTGATTGTCAAAACGAACCGAAAAAATAGAAATATTATTTCAACATGATTATTTTTGTATTGACAACTATTTGATGATAATTGATGTTAAGAAAAATCTATCTTACCGACATCAGGTTATAGACCATCTAAGGCCCAAGTTGGAGCAATGTACATTGCGTAAAATAACTAAAGGATAGTTTACATACAATTTTCGACCATATGGTCTCTCTGATATCACTTTTCTCTTAGCAAAAGTTACAACATTTCTGGTAATCTTACTGCTTCATACACAGTTTTAGTTCTGAATGATAAATCTCCATTTCCGGCATAAAAAAATCACAATGTATATTTCTTAGTGACTCAGCATCACTACGGCCATTTTTGCCGGTCTGGAGACGGCGTACGTATTGCGGTGAATGAAAATTAATAAATTTATATGACAAAGATTAATCAGTACGATGAGGGTATATGTTTTGGTCAAAGATAAGAAGCAGCAGTACTGCGTTCATAAAAAACGTCATATTTCAATTGAAAAAAAAAGAGATCAAATATGTGACAAAAAAATAAAAATAATTTGCGAACACAGTAAGTATTTTTGTGAGCCTTATTCTTAAACAAATCATTTTTACGTTATTGAAGTAGAATAATAAATAATAACTTTTTTTTTATTTTTTAATGGGAAAATTTCCATTATAAAAATTAAATATCAAGAGACACTTTTTGAAAACAAACAAAAATATCTGGCTCAAATTTCTGAAATATTTTTTTCAAATTATTTATTATTAAAAATGATGTTCTGTCAAATGATTGTTGTTCTCAATAAACAATTTACTCAATAAATAAAGATAAATGATTAGAGTGTGTTTACATTTAATTTCAAAACTCTTTTGAGAGTGTATGTTTGTTTATATTTTTAAGGTTAAAAAATTTTATGTTTACAGTCTTTGAAATTTTCAGGTATATTTTAGTTGAAAGATATTTAGGTTTTTATGACTAATTTCAAACTTATAATTTTGTTTCAGCTAATCGCACAAATTTGCACGATATTTGTAAAAAATTAAATCTTAATGAACCTCAAATAATCTTATCCAAAATTATCCTTAGTGAATCTCCAAAATCCACTCCTTTTGTCCATTTGAATCCTAACGGTGGTGAGTTTATTCCTTTTAAAATGACACTAGTTGATATAAATAATTTTTCTATGAGCTTTTTCAGTTGCTATAATTTGTAGCAGTTTTTTTTTTATGTTCATTTGATTTTGTGAAATAATTTTAAAATAAAACTTAAAAATTTTTTTTGCTCATTCTAAGAGTTTTTTTAATCGTTCTTAATAATACCATAGAGTCTTTACTGTCTTACAAAGAAAGAAGCTTATTTTATATAAATTTTATCAAGAGGTCTTATATTCTATTTTATCATAAACTTGTCAAACAATTATAAACATTCGATTGTGTTAGTCTTGAACAGATTTTTTTTACATTATGGCAATACTTTATAGGTCAATCAATAGATGATTCAATAAAACAGCAACTGTTGAAAGAAAATACTCATTCTATTTCAGAAGTTAATGAAAAAAATTGCTTTACAGATTTAAAAAAAATAAAAAATGTCCGTTTTTCTATTTTAAAGAATCGTAAGTATTATCTCTTAATAAAATAGTTATTTTTGAGTAATTATTAATTTATTGTTTGCGATAAATAGTCTCAAAATAGCTATTTTATTTTTAAACTCTTCAATTATCAGTTCAATCACATAACTGCAATATGACTAATAAATTTTTGTTGAGAATAATAATTTAATTTGATTTAGATTAAACATGTGTCATTGAAAGTAAATAACATCATCTAAAATTGTATTTTTTACAAATTTATAATTCAAAAAACTTGGTTTATGAAGTAAATAACGTTTCGAGTTGTTTCTTTATTATAATATTCAACAATAATACTTGGTTTTAGTATTTGCTAGCTATTTAATACTATAATTAATACTTTATCAAATAATTTGTACAATATATATGCTTTCACCCGTTTTATCATGTCTTATTAGGAATAGATAATATCATGTATCTAAAAACAAAAAGACAATATAACATTATTTAACTTAATTCAGGCTTCTATATTGAATTAAAATAATGACATTTATACCAAATCAAATATTAAGACTAACATTAAATATGTGAACTATTTATTTATTTTAGATTTTAATGACTCCGACAAATTATTAAATACTAAAAATGTCAGTTCTGATTTATATGAAATATCGAATGATTTGTTTGAAAACATTGACCCGGCAAATATTTCATATCAAATAAGGAATGGTGATTTAGATGATTTTCTAACTGATATGAATACAACTGGAATTGGACACGAGCTCATAATTGAGACAGAAACTGCACAAGATATTCACGATTATTCATTTGACAACGAGCAAGAATCGTTTACTTATGAAAATAATCTTCAGCCAGGAAATGGAATTAACACAGACGATATAGAATACCGGAACACGATCGAAACAAATGAAATTCAACTTGAAAATACCTATGATAAAAATACGCAAAGAAAATTGCAAATTGACTACAGTAAGTAATTCGAATTACAGTTAGCATACATTTGTTTATATGAGTTTAATAATAAAATTTTTTTATATTTTTAATAGTTATCAAGAAATTAACTCAATCGATAATAATTTTTTCAAGCAATTAATTAAAACATACCACTAATGAAATTATTTTAGTCTTATAGGTTCTGACAGTGAGTCTAAAGATTCTGATTCATCGTATGAACCAGTAGAGTCAGATCAATCAATTGAAAATGAAGATTATTTGGTAGCTGATGTAACCGATGAAGAAAATTTAGATGATGAAAACACTGGATCTGGAAATTTCGATGAAACTAACAACGTTTCGCAAAATACTTCAACCTCGACTTTAAATTGTTCGTTAAATGTTCCGGGACATGCTGGCTGGGATGATAGTGATGTGGAAGCTGAGTTAACTACTAAAAAGGGAAATCAGAAAAAAGATACTTGCTGCTTTTGTGAGAAAGAATATTTCAAAATTGCACGTCATTTAGAAATGGTGCATTCAACCGAACCTGAAGTAAAAAGTTTTGTAAAATTAAAAAAAAAGTGTGCTGAGAGATTAAATGAAATAGCTATTTTAAGAAAAAGAGGTAATCACATGTATAATATGAAGCAGGGAAGAAAAGCAAATGGCAAACCCGGATTATTAAAAGTAGCGCGTTGTCCAAATAAAGCGTCGAAAAAAAGAGGCGGTAATTACGCTGTTTGCTGTAAGTGTAAGGGCTGGTACACGAAAACTAATCTTCGTCATCACTATCGTGTTTGTCAAGATGGCGCCCACAGTAGTAAAGGTATTCTAGCCAAAGCTCGACGTATCCAGGGACAAATTCATCAACGAGCATCCGATGCTATGCGTCATAAAATTATCCCTTATATGAAGTTGACAGAACATGTAAAACTAATACGGTATGATCTTATGATTATTTTATTTGGAAATGAAGAATGCACAAAATACAAAAAACGTAACTTAGCTCAAATGATTCGTGCAAAACTGAGTTTGCTAGCTAGATTTCTTGTAGTCATGAAAGAAGCAGATTCAACTATAAGTGATTTTGCTTCAATATATAATCCAGCACATTATTATAAGGTGATTGAAACAATAAATAAATTTGCTGGATTAGATGAAGAAACTGGTTACTTTAAGGTGCCTTACAGAGCTTCTGAAATCACTACGAATATCAATAAAATCGGGCAAATTCTAATCAACGAATGCATTATTAACAAAGAAAATGAAAAAAAAGAAGATGTACAAAATTTTTTATCACTATGAAAACAAGGATTTGCAAATATTATCAATCGTACTGTACAAGAGACTCGACTAATGACACAGCGTAAGAAAGTTGTAGAGCTTCCTACTACTACCGATATACGTCGATTTTCAATTTTCTTAGATAAGAAAATTGATGATAATATCAAACTATTAGAGCAAGGATTTTCAATTCGAGCCTGGCGTGATCTCTCTGAAGCTGCGCTGATTCAATTGCAATTACTTAATCGTAAGAGAGCTGGAGAATTGGAACGGTTCGAGTTGGATGACTACAAGAAGATGCAATTTATTAAAGAAGGAGATGAAGGGTATAAATCTTTATCAAAAAAAGATAAAGAAAAGGCGAAAGAATATGGCCATATTGTAATTCAGGGAAAGTTGTACAAAGGTGTACCTCTGTTATTGAGTACTAAAGTTCGGGATGGAATTAATGTCGTTATTAAGCATCGAAAAGATGCCCGTGTATCTTCTAGAAATCCATTCGTGTTTGGAATAGCTGGTTATTACAAAGACGCCCACTTGGGTGCCTGTAATGTCATGAGAAAGTTATCGGAGCAATGTGGCGCAGATAATCCTGAGTTGCTTCGTGGTACATTTTTGCGCAAACAAATTGCAACCAAATGCTCTGAGATGCAACTGGACTCGACAACAACTTCAAAAGTAGCTGACTATCTTGGACATGACGTGACTATTCACAAGAAAGTCTACCAGCAACGTACGAGAGCTGATATTTTGGATATGTCCACTATTTTACTTAAAGCTCAAGATCCAAATGAATCGCGTAATAACTCTAAGGGCTCAATCGAAATGGATTCAACTATTACCGAATCAGATATTTCTGCAAATCCAGGTAATTAATATTACTTTTAAATAAAAATAACTTGGTAAAGTTTTTTTAATAATTACAACTGCAAATGAAAATATTTTTTCTTAATCCAGATTTATCATTGCGTCTGTATTCAAAATAGACTGAAGTTTAATAGATAAAAATTTAACTAAAAAATCTTAATAGTTCTTAAATGACATAACTACATCCGTTCGTCAACATTATCCTGATTAATATTTTAGTTAATAATATTCTGATTATCATAGATACTTAAATGCTAATAGTTGAATAAGAATTATATGGTTAAATAAGCAGAGCTACGTTAGTGAGCTCTCAATATGATTATTTAATATTTTTTTCTTTTTTTTTTTTTTTTTTTTTTTTTTTAATTATACTTATATACTTTTAATCATTTTTTAATCTTACATCTAACTCCAAATCAACCATAAATGCATCAATTTAAATGTCTATTTCATAAGCTATCATAAAAATTCGATAATACACTATTAATTTGTTCTTAGGTACATATAATTTCAATGAATCATCAGACATAAATCGAGAGATTGGTGAAAATAATGTGATCGATCCGATTGTTGATACTTCTCTTGAGGAAGGGCCGAAAAATCATAAAACTCATGATAAGACTAAGTCTAGTAATCATTCGACTGACCGTAAAAAAATAAGTCGAGTCCGTTGGAGTAAGGACGAAGAGAAAGCATTTACAAAGTATTTTGCTGAATATTTGAGAACAGAAACGTATCCATCTGCGATTGTCATCAGGGACTTTAAGAAAAAATATAATATTCTACCTAATCGTGACATACCTGCTCTAAAAACAAAATTAAGCAATTTTTTTAAGCTAACACCCAGTGCCAAAATAAAGATGTTACAAAGTGGTAAGAATTCTAGTTTTCTTAAGCAAAAAAAAAATCTTGCGTCTAATATGAAAAGAAAAGAAATGAAACTGAAAGACAAGGCTCAAAAATTAAAAGATAGTACTGATAATAGTAAGGTGAAGCACCACATCAAATATATATTTGATTCTTACATTGAAAAAAGTCACTTACCTTCAAAAAAAACCTGTGACGAAGCAAAAAAAAATGATAAAATATTGGAAGTCGTCAGCATCGATTATATTCGAAATGTTATTCGCAAGCAAATTGATAAAAAAAAGCAGTAATGTCATAGCTGATTGATAAGCTACTATAAATGACATAAAATCATAATTGATATGCTTATTCTTTCATGCGGTTGTTATATTGTAAACGTACTATTTGTGGCTCAATCAGAATTGATTCAAGTAACTCATTTATTGGATAGATTTATATAAGATAATTATTTATATTGTTGAAAAAAAAGCAAGTACAATAATTTTCAGTATTTACATAAAAATCAATTTAATTAATAAGATATGCTATTGTTCTAATTTAAGTCTCTTTTTCTTAAGATATAATTCTAAAAATTCGTTGATAAAAAAACACCAAGTTATATTCTATTTATCAGTTATTTTATTTAAGAAATGTTGCTTGTTGAAAAGTTTTATCGTTTAATGTTAATTTTTAATAAAAAAAAAGATTATTTATATGAAATTGTTAAATACAAATATGCTGTGATGCATTGTTAACTGTGAGAATAAATAAATAAATTTTATATTGACAAATTAGAATTCGTTATTCAACTAAATACGATAATTAAAATATGCTAGAGATAGTTTTGACAGTAATTTATGAAGTAGATTTCGAACAATTTCAATCAAAGAAACTGGAGTTAAAAAAATATAATTCTATTTATTATTTGTAAAAAATATTCTATCATTTAAACGATACAGTTGAATTCTTCAGTTTCTTCGAGAGACCACGAAAAAAATTAAAATCACAAAATTGTTATTAATTATTATTTATAGCTTATAAAGGTTTTCACAAATATTGTAATTTGATTTTTCGTTTAATGATTTACATAAGTAATAGAGCACATCACGGTTTCAATGAAAGAATAATTTGGAACACTGAAAGGTTCATTGTGGAATTATAAAATACAATGAAAAAAAAGTGTTTGGTAATTATTTACAAGTGGAGTTCTTTATTTTAATGTTCATTTATTTGAACGAAATTTTCTTTTAAAAATTTTGATATATTTTTTTTTAAAAAATCCATAAAAAAATGAACAGTTAGAAAAAAAGTTGATAACCACAATTTTCACAAATTTTAAAAAAATTTAAGTTTTTTAGAAAATTGTGATGTTCAACTTTTTTTTCTTTAATTGTTCGTTTTTTTGTACTTTTCAAAAAAAAAAAAATACAAGAAAAAAAGATAAAATAGAAATTTTATCTAAAATCATGAGAGTCAATACTTTTTCCAATTTTTGAAGCCAACACAAGTATCGAAATCTTAGTTTTTTTCTTTTACGACATTGTTTATTTAATTATTTTTATTGTTTAATTGTTGCTTTACAAATTGTTTTAATTATTTCACGATATTGCTTATGTTAATTATTTATTAGTGGACCCCAGTTGCAAATAATTACAAAACTTTTTTTTTTTTAATCACAAAAAAAAATCATGAGTAGGACTAAGATTCTTATCGAAATTTTGAAATAATTATTCATATGACGTAATTTTATCGAATAAATTTTCTTATAGGCGTAGTAGTTTGTATTCATTCTACAAGTAAGATTTTTATAATAAATGATTAAACTTTTGAAAATAATGAAATTTATTTTGGAATAACGGCAAAAATATTGGTCCTAAGAAAAAATCATGAGAAATTAATCTTAGAGAACGTTCAATTTCTTACAGCTTTTAATCACTTAATTTATTGTTAGGACTGATATCTCTTTGCTATAATTCTCAAAGTAAAATTTGTAATGAATGAATTAAATTACCGCTAATCATGAATCTGAATTTAGAAAATCACGATGACAATATCGGTCTTATGAAAAAAACAGAACGTATTTTTCCTTAAATAATTAAATTTTCTGAAACTTTTGTTCGTAAAATTTTTCAATGGAGCCAATATTTTTACTGTAATTATAAAATTAGAATTTTTTGAGTGATTCAAATTTTAACAGCAGTCGAAAATAATTTTGAAATCAAGACAAAAATATTGATTCTACGAAAAAACAATAGTATAGTTTTTTTTTTTCAATTTAATTTATTACAATTTACGAACTCTCAATCCATTCCTAGAACCTATGTGTTAACCGTATTTTTCAAAATGAAATTTATAATGAATGAAATTTATAGTGAATAATGAATCTGAATTTTACAAATTACGATGAAAATATTTCCCTTTTGAAAAATAAAAAAAAGATTTCTCGACTGAAGAATAAAATTCTTGGCTCAAGTAAATTTTCGGGTGCCCGAAGGAAGACCGAAGTTGTCTTGGCCGAAGTAAAAATTTCTCTTGAAATTCTATTCTTGGTGGAAGTAATTTTTCTTGATTCAAATTATCATAAATACTTAATAATAAATTTTTATATTGGATCAAGATTTTTAAATACTTTAGGGGAGCAGCGCCACCTACTTCAGCTGAGAAAAAAATTTTCTTACCTTGAGAAAATTTTTCTGTTGAATATTTGATACCCATTTTAAACTATTTTAGCACGCAATTATACATATTGAATGAAAGAAAATGGTTCAATATTATTTGATCTTTCCATTGCGCATGTTTGTCAATAAAAATATTGATGAAAATTTATTATCGAGATAATCAATTTTTTAAAGTATGAGAAAAATTTTCTCAAAACAAGAAAATTTTCTTGATTCAAACAAATTGTCTTGCATCAAGATACGTATTTCTTGAAGCAGGAGAATGAATTTAGTTGGGATAAGTGAAATTTCTTGTGTTATGTCCGAGTGTTTTTAGAATGTGGTAGCGTGAAGCGGGGAGGATGGACTAACAATGTAAAGAATACAAATTTTATAGATTTTGATTGTGGGAAGTTTCCGGACTGAAAAACCACGCCTCAGAAGAGATTGAGTGTGCGAATTTGATCTAGTCGCTAAGCGAATCCAAATATAGATAATAGAGCTTATACTTACTGTTAATGAACCTTCGGATCCTACCTCCCTGGACGGCTGTTAGCACCTCAGGTCGGGACTCGAACTTAATCTTACGGGTAGGATTACGTTGATTCTTAATTTAAATAATGACTCGAATATGTAGAATTTATTAGTGTTCTTGTTTGTCACGTTTTATTCCAAAATATCAACAGCAATACACAGAGCAACTTATATTATTTTCACTTATGAGCAATAGCAAAATTTAATTTATAATTACGGTTAACGTCCAATTTGTTTCCTTGAGGAAACAACGCGCAACTCACCAAAAACAAAAAAAAAAAAAATTATATATAACTTTATCCTAACGAACCGAACGCACTAAAGCTTTGGTGCTAGAACAAATTTCTATGAATGGATTTTATTGAATTATTATTGATTATAAATAATTCTTATTTAACCGCTGAATGCACTAAAGATTACACGGCAAATCGTGGCTATTTTTACTTACAGTATTATAATAAAATCTAAGATAACGCTATGTCAAACCGAAGCTAAATGCACCAAAGACTTAGGCGGCCGAATAGGTATATCTGGGGCGGATCAACTCAGTTAAGTGCAACTAAATGCAACAAAAATTAACTGAAAGGAGAACCAGGAGCCGCCTTGTGCAGGCGTTTTTAAAGACTCTTGTTGCTGATGCGGCAAGAATCCCCGTCGGTTAATCTGTCCGATGGTTTCAACTGCGGTTCTTGCGCATTATATTAACTATTATAATGAATTTGTATGTGTGGACTTTAGGCTTACATGCCATAAGAATAAAAAAAAAAATAAATTTAATAAATATACGGGGCGGACATAACATTCCCCCGGAAAAGGAAGGGGTTGCACAATCCCTTGCTTTTCCTATGTCTACGGCCCGTATGAGCGTGAACCGCTTAACAGTTCTAATGTTTTATAAATTTTGAAGATTTTGCAATTTTAAAAAATAGCATAATTAATCTCGCTAACTATACCGACTTGTGTTCGTATGGTAATTAGGTCATCGCGGATAAGGTAGGTCGGAAATTAATTTTAATAAATAGATCAAACGAGTAATCTGCAACCAGATGGCCTTTCCTGTACTTTTAATTGAACTTCTTAAGATTTGCTTATTGAGCTGCCATTGCGCCATTGTTGACAAATAATAATTCATAATTACTCATATATAATGTAGCATGAGTTAATGTTAAGATATTTGTAGTATACTTTTGTGTAGGGCATAATATAAATGTTATTAAAATTTGAAGTTAATAATTAATAATGATGAAAAAAAAAATATTTTTTTTTTTTTTTTTTGTAGTATAATAGAATTCATAATATAATTATCTGAGAGAGTAACGTAACTTAAGAGCGTCAAGATGGCCAGACAACCCGTCTAGATTGTTGTTACGGAAAAAGAAAATTTTTGAGTTGTGCTGCACTATCGTATCCCCCTTAAGCGTGGGATTTCTATAATTATTTATTGAAATATCGCTCTTAATTAATTCTGCAGCACAATGGAGAGAAACTAAATTTTTTTTTTTTTATATATAATATAAATTTTTATTTTTTTTTTTTTTTGTTACTATTTTTTTTTTTGTTTGTAAGAATGTATAGTTATTGTTGCTTTTAAGCAATACTTAAACTTATTTTCAAATTAATATTTTTTTGGGATTGAATATAATAATTACCCGTATAGTCTTTATGAATATGTAACTTATTTTAATGCAAGGTCAGTACGGTGTCTCATTCTAGGTGTTTGACTCTATCATTATTATTATACAAAAGTTTAAAGTTAATATACTGTTAGCTATTCCTTCTTTTATTTATCAGCCGAGAAGGAGACAGCGTGTTGACTGTGCAATTTAATCTAATTAATAACTTATCTAGTTTTACTGCTGCTGCTGATGATTTAAATTGGTGACTTGTAGTCACTCAGTCGTAAAGCCTTTTTTCTCGGTTCTTGCGGCACGATTTTTGGTTTTTTGATTTTGGCTGACGGTTCAGGTGAGACGTCTTGGTCATCGGTGTTGCTAACTATGAATGGAGCTTTTTCGAGGACGTTTTCTGTTAACCTTTCTATCTTTGGTTTGATGCTCTTTTCAGATGGCGCAGTTGTTTTGCTGTCTGAGTGAAATTGGATCACGACCGAGTTCTCATCTTTTTTGTTGCGACGAGATCTTCTTGACTGGATGCATTGAATGATCTTGAAACCTAATATTGAAGCTATTATTATCGTTATTAATCCAGTCAGACCTAATGAGCCAAATATTATTGATCGGTCGATGTTTTCACTTTGGTGATGCAGAGCAATCTGTGACAATCTTTCCTCGTTTTCTTCCAGTCCTTGACCCCATGGCTCGAACTTATCTACGATTGTTGACGGGTCATGAACTTTGTAGAAACTGAACCGTCAGCAGTGTCGCCTGTGGGAAAGCTGGAGTTTAGTTCGTCGAGTGTCAGGTTAATGCTCGGCATGATGACATCAATTTTTGTTATCTCACGGGCAATTCCTCGCAGTGTATATTATTTGCAGCTCACTCGACACCCTGGCTTGATGTGTATTAGGCCGGTCCCGTTGATAATCTTATTTTGTGCGATAACTTCAGAACATCTGCACTGGATGCTCTCTTCTTTGCAAGTTGAGTAGGCCCAGGTATTCTTCTCGTTTAGTTTCAGCCAAGTGAGTGAGCATTTGGGAATTACGCGAATGTTGCAGTCTCGTAGTTTCTCAATGTCTGGAGACATGAGGAGTCTCATCTCGCAGTCGATTTCTTCTTCCAATTTTGTTGACTGTATCGGAATGTTGGGTAGACAAGCCACGTCTGGCCCTATGGGCTTGCAGCTGTCGATATAATCTTGAGATGCGAAAAAATACCCATCATACGAAGGCTCTGAGATTAGGTATTTGTTCGTTGGCAGAATAGTCAGTGTCGAGATCTTGTCCAAGATTTTCTCTGGCTTTGGCAGAGGTTTCAGTTCGTAGGCCAACCATGGCACCTGGTTGAGCAAAGGTATGGTTATTATAATTAAAAAATGCCCTTGAGCTTTTGCGGTTTCGATCGTTGAGACTTTGGATAAGGTTGAAATGTCCATGTGGTCGAGTGGCTGTGGAGGATTCAGACTTGGATATTTTCTCATTATATCTACCGTTGCTTGATATAGTTGTTTGGCTGATATAGATCTGTATGAGATTTTTCCTGACTTGGCGTCTTCTACCACTTTCTCGGTATCATGTAAGACTTTTAGGTGGCTCGTCATCAGATGAATATGCTCGTTGCCAGCTAAGGTGAATAGGTGGCTTCTTTCTAAGTCATTTATCTGTTGATACATTGACTCTTTTAGATTCGTAATGGTCCTAGCTAAATCTCTAACTCTTTCCGAGAGATTTGTTTCGTGTTGGAGTATCTGATTTATTTCGCTCTTAATGATGTGCGAATTGTTTTGTACTATGTGGACGAGCTCTCGGTTGTCTTGGTACAACTTATCAATTTCTTTAGTGATATGCTCCTTATCACCGTAATCCATTGTGCCAAATAGTTTTCTAGCGATTATGCCCACAAAGCCGAACCATGGAGCTCTTCTCGTGCGGCTTTCTGGCTCTGGGTTCAATTCTGCGTTTTCGAGGAATTGTTTCAATCGATGTTTGGACTGTTCGATCTCCAATTGAAGTTCTTGATGGCTATCAATCCGTAGATATGATCTACAATGTGATCGGTTTAGCTTATAGGTGCACATTCCATAAGCCTCCCATATACTTTGATTTGATATGGGGTATAGATCGACAAGTTTTTGAATATTTATTGAACTGACTATCTGCCATTCTTCTTCTATCAGATGGATCCTTTTGAACGGGTCATAAAGCAGCCCTGGATTGGAGTTCAGTGGGCGGATGTTGACTTGCCCGGCGCAAATTGCCAGGCTGGTGACCCCTAGGAGGACCAATGGTAGATAATATATCCTTCCGATTTGGTGTTGAGTCTGTAATCACAAGCTAGGTTTGGATATTAGAAAAATTTTCACTATTGGCTAGTTTAGCTTTATTTGGGTGTAAGAGTTTTCTTTTCCCATTTTCTTTTTCTATTATTAGATTATCTGTTTCTGTTATTTCGATTATTCTGTAAGGATCCGTATAAAAGTGGTCAAGTTTACCTTTTCTAGGCTCTTTAAGAGTGTAAATTAGGTCTCCGATTTTATATGTTGCCGGATGAATGTGTTTATCAAATCGGGCTTTCGATTCATGCTTTGCTCTATCAACATTCCTTGCCGAAATTTGTTGAATTTCCGCGATTCTACTTATTAGATCTGCGAGGTAATCGCTATAAGTGTCAATTTTACTAAAATCGGGAAATTGGGTAGGGGTTCGAGCCTTTTTACCGTATAGAATTTCGAAGGGTGTGAATCTAGTGGCCGTGTAAACGGTTGTGTTATAATTTAACATGGCCATCGGTATGTAACGATCCCAATCATGGAATCTATCGACATAGGCCCTGAGATAATCTACTAGTGGCTGGTGTGAGCGTTCTAGAGAGCCATTTGCTTGAGGATAATAGGATGAGGTGGTTAGTCTGTGGATTTTTAAGACTTTAGCGAGCTGCTGGATCAGTTTACTAGTGAATGAGGTGCCCTTGTCCGAGAGGATTACACGGGGGCACCCATAGATGGCGATATAATGGTTAAGTAGGGCATCGGCTACTGTAACTGCTCTAATATCTGGCAATGGGACAGCAGCAGCAGCTTTCGAGAAGTTGTCTTGAATAGTTAGGATATGTACGTTCCCATCGGGGGTCATGAGCAGTGGTCCTACTGTATCTATACTTATTTTTTCAAATGGTTCAAACGGAGTGTCTGTAATTTGCATTGGCTGTTTTGTTTTAATCCGGGTGAGTTTATTTTTTTGGCATATTTCACAGGCTCTTATGTAATCGTAGATGGAGTTTTTCATGCCTGGCCAGTAATATCTCTCTCGGATTCGCCAATAAGTTTTTACGACTCCTTTGTGGCCTCCAACTAAACTATCGTGACCTTCAGCGATTATCTGGGTGCGTAAGGATTCGTCAGGTACCTTGACTTGCCCGGCGCAAATTGCCAGGCTGGTGACCCCTAGGAGGACCAATGGTAGATAATATATCCTTCCGATTTGGTGTTGAGTCTGTAATCACAAGCTAGGTTTGGATATTAGAAAAATTTTCACTATTGGCTAGTTTAGCTTTATTTGGGTGTAAGAGTTTTCTTTTCCCATTTTCTTTTTCTATTATTAGATTATCTGTTTCTGTTATTTCGATTATTCTGTAAGGACCCGTATAAAAGTGGTCAAGTTTACCTTTTCTAGGCTCTTTAAGAGTGTAAATTAGGTCTCCGATTTTATATGTTGCCGGATGAATGTGTTTATCAAATCGGGCTTTCGATTCATGCTTTGCTCTATCAACATTCCTTGCCGAAATTTGTTGAATTTCCGCGATTCTACTTATTAGATCTGCGAGGTAATCGCTATAAGTGTCAATTTTACTAAAATCGGGAAATTGGGTAGGGGTTCGAGCCTTTTTACCGTATAGAATTTCGAAGGGTGTGAATCTAGTGGCCGTGTGAACGGTTGTGTTATAATTTAACATGGCCATCGGTATGTAACGATCCCAATCATGGAATCTATCGACATAGGCCCTGAGATAATCTACTAGTGGCTGGTGTGAGCGTTCTAGAGAGCCATTTGCTTGAGGATAATAGGATGAGGTGGTTAGTCTGTGGATTTTTAAGACTTTAGCGAGCTGCTGGATCAGTTTACTAGTGAATGAGGTGCCCTTGTCCGAGAGGATTACACGGGGGCACCCATAGATGGCGATATAATGGTTAAGTAGGGCATCGGCTACTGTAACTGCTCTAATATCTGGCAATGGGACAGCAGCAGCAGCTTTCGAGAAGTTGTCTTGAATAGTTAGGATATGTACGTTCCCATCGGGGGTCATGGGCAGTGGTCCTACTGTATCTATACTTATTTTTTCAAATGGTTCAAACGGAGTGTCTGTAATTTGCATTGGCTGTTTTGTTTTAATCCGGGTGAGTTTATTTTTTTGGCATATTTCACAGGCTCTTATGTAATCGTAGATGGAGTTTTTCATGCCTGGCCAGTAATATCTCTCTTGGATTCGCCAATAAGTTTTTACGACTCCTTTGTGGCCTCCAACTAAACTATCGTGACCTTCAGCGATTATCTGGGTGCGTAAGGATTCGTCAGGTACCGTGACGTTTCCTTCACACAGTGTGACGGTTATTGGACAGTCACTCAGTTCCTGTTCTAAATATTTCTTTATGTCTAGGTCAACAAATTCATCGCCCTGTTTCGAACATCGGAGACAGTGAATTTGGTATTTATGCATCGACTGGCGTAGGCTTCTCAGGCCTTCGACAAGATGGATGGGTTCTATTTTCTCAAAATGATAAGTTTTTATAAAAACTGTAAATATTTTACAGCGACCTAGTTTGGTGACGAATACGTCACCCTTTTTAGGCTTAGCTGCAAGATGATCTTCGGCGTTGATAAACTTCACGTCTCGCAGCAACTTAGCCACGGGTTTAATGACCTCGCAATCGGCTGCGAGAAAATGTACCATGTGATCTCGGGCGTACGTGAGGCCATCACGACTATTCATGAATTTGATGTTATTTACACGGCCTTTAGGTGGGCCTTCTTCATCTGATGACGAAGATGAAGAAATTTTTGGCCTGCCTCGTCTTTCTGAGAGAATCTCCTCTGCTTGATCCGAAGTTGGGGGATCAGAGACTGAAATTTGGGGGTAATTCGATTTAAGAGGAGATGGGTCGGTTTTTCTTGAGCCATCTGGTGTATCACTGGAGTTTTCAGATGACTCTGGAGGAGTTTTTCCGAATTCTAGATTTTTGTCTTGATCAGGGAGCTCGCTTTCTGTCGTCGGAAATTTATCTGGATTTTCGATATCGGGTTCCGTTGGCCTTGTGTTGTCAGCTGACGGTTCAACAGCCTGCCGCTGTTGTGCTGGGTCAGTAGATTCTCTTCTTACGAGCTCGTCTAAAGTTACGTCCTGTGTTGCGTGATCGTACCGGATTCCCATTCTATTTAATTCATCCGGGATCAATGTTCTTGCCCAGAGAGGTGTTTTCGGTAATGGACCATCGTTCATATAGCCTCTAAATCGGTTAGATGTACTTGGTCTGGCCGGAGTTAGATAACTTTCGTCGGGCTCGTTGGTATCATCAATACTAACTTCGTTAGTTGAGGTGTCAGTTTCAACATCATTCTCTCTTAAGAACTCATTGAGTTCATTATTGTCTTCTTCTGATTCTCTATCAGAAAACATTGGTAAGTTCGGATTAGCTGATGCATCAAGATCGAAGATTGGGATCTCGTCCATGGATTCTCGAATTTCTTTTGCCAGTCGAGAATTGACTATCTTTTGAACTTTTAACTCGCTGGGAGTTCGTTGATTTTTCGGATCATCTATCATATCTTTTTCTCTCCAAGTGATAGGCCTTCTTTCGAGCAGTTGGTCGAACATTTTTATTAGCTCTTGAGTTTTCCTCCGCGCTCGTGGCGTAGCGAGTTGTTTTTCGGGCTCTTCTTCTCCGTCGGCTTCTAGACTGGCGTCTATTTCGCGTGGAGTGGAATCAATTGTTGCAGGGAGTTCCTTTTCGAAGACATCATCGTCCCCCTGTTCCGAGGTTTGAGCTATTTCTTGAGTTTCTTCCGGCTGGCTCTCTTCTGTGATACTGGATTCTTTATAATTAGCATTGGGTGGAACGCGAGTGCTTCCAATTTTTCTCTGCCGGAGTCGGGAGGCAATTGTATCTCTAATTTCGGGAGCGCTTTTAATTCTGGGCTTATTTTTAACCCCTTTCGGCCTTCCAGGACGTTTTATGGCCTGAATTGCTTCTGAATCCGAAATTTTCCTGCGTGGGTTCGTTGTTTTAGCTAAAGTAATCGGAAGAGCCAGAATTCCGCCGCTCGGGTTGGCTTCTGGACGTCCTTCGGGATTGTAGGCTAGCCCATCAGCATATTGTTCGGAGATTTTGTGTCGAACTACAGCTGTGAATCGATATTCAGCTAATTTGGAGCGCCATTTGACTTGTCTCTCGGTGATCGTTGCACTATCCATTAACCAAGTCATACAGGGAGTATTTGTTATTAGAGTAAAATGTTTTTTGTATAAATATGGCCGGAATTCTTCTATTGCGTATATTACCGCCAAACATTGTTTCTCGACGTCCGTGTACCTGGTTTCGGCGTCATGATAGACGCGAGATACACAGGAAACAATTTTTTCTTCATTTTCCGGATTGGGACGTGGGATTTTTACTGTGTCGTCCCCCTGTTCGTCCCGTTGTTCGTCCCCCTGTTGGGTCGATTGACTGAGGACTCCGGATATTCCAGAGTCGCAAGCGCTCGTAGCTAGTATAAAGGGCTTATTAAAATCAGGGTATTTTAGAAACGAATTTTCACACAGAGAATTTTTTATATCATCGAATGATTTTTGGGATTCTTCTGTCCAGATGAAAGGTTTTGTTTTTCTTGTCAAGTCTGTTAAGCCTTTGGCTTTTTCTGCAAAATTTGGTATAAAGCGTCGATAATAGTTTGCGAGGCCCATGAATTTTCTTGCCTCTGTGTGGTTTCTAGGTTGTGAAGCGTTTTTTACGGAGGACACTTTCTTGGGGTCGGGTTTGACTCCGTCTTTGGTGATGACGTGACCTAGATATTCGACTTCAGGGCATAAAAATTTGCATTTTTCGGGCTGGAGGGTCAGCCCTGCCTCTCTGAGGCGATTAAATAGTCTCTGAAGTCTGACTAGGTGTTGCTTTAATGTCTTAGCATAACTTACTAAGTCGTCGATGTAGATAAATAATTCGACTCCTCTCAGTCCACTGAGTGTAGAATCCATCATTCTTTGGAAGATTGCTGGAGCACATTCCAGACCGAAGGGCATGCAGCAGTATTCCCAGTGGCCATCTGGGGTCGAGAAAGCTGTTTTTTCGGCATCTGCTGGGTGCATAGGCACCTGATGGAAACCCATTGCTAGGTCAAATACGCTGAAGAAGTTTGCTTCACCAAGTTGGTCAAGTATGTCGATTATAAGGGGTAAGGGATACGCATCGCCCCTTGTTATTTTGTTAAGTTGACGGAAGTCAATGACCATCCGATATTTTTTTACAGCTGGGTCATTGGACTTCTTCGGGACTATCCACAAGGGGGAGTTATACGGCGAGTTGGACTTGCGGATGATCCCTTGTTTCTCTAAATTTTCGACTTGTTTCGCGATTTCTTCTCGATGTTCTAGAGGAAATCTGTATTGTTTTATTCGCACTGGCGTGTCCGTAGTTGTTTCGATACGACACTCGAAGGATTTAGAGCATCCTAGTTTATCACCAGGGAGATGGAAAACATCATGATTTTCCTCAACGAGCTCACGAATTCGATCTGCTTCATTTTTATTTAGATGATTGAGAGAAATCTTTTCGAGAATTAATTTGGCCCTTTCTTTTGGGTCAGTTATTTTCTTGGATGAGTAAGATGATATCTCATTTGGATCGTCCCCCTCTGAGTTAGGATAGTCGAATTCGAACTCCTCTAGAGTTTGTGGGCTAAAGACTATTTCGGCTGGCTCTGAATTGAGGTTAATGACCATGCACATGGCGTACCCATCCTCCACCCTGACTGCCGCTTCTCCACACAATACTCCCTTAGGGAGGTTTACTCGTGGGAGGTAGCCCTCTTTTTTTTTGGGGTTTTTAATAGGGATGGCTACTGCCACTCTCATGCGTAGGGGAATTGTATATCGTGAAGATTGTTCTTGTTCAAGGCTAAAGTGAATTGTTTTATTTGGTTTTGAGAGAAACGAAATGTTCTGTGTATGATAAGAAATTTCGGCCTTTTCCTGTTCAAGGAGGTTATTTCCAAGAATTCCTACTCCTGGGAGTGGTAAATCTTCGCCACAGACATGAAATTCAACATCCATGCCTAGAATTTTAAGCGTTACTATGCCTAAAGTTTTAAAAGAGTTATCGTCGATTCCTCGAAAGGTAGTAGCTCTCTCCGTATCAATTGGAACTTCTAAACGAAGGGCTGACGCGTTGATAAGGCAAGCGTCCCCCCCTGTGTCAACAAGGAAGCGCTGATAGTTTCCAATGAGAGAGTTACACGGTAAGTAAATTTTTGGGCCCGTTCCAAGAGCAAGGATTTTGGGCTTTTTGGAACGGCGGGGATTTATAATTGGGATTGGTTTTATGAGATTGTGTTTACTAACCAGTGTGTTCCAGAAGAAAGAGATTTTTACTCGTTCTTTGATAAAAAAATCATTCCCTAGGATAGCCTTATAGCCACCTGGAGGCGCTGGGACTATATGAAAGAAGACATTGATTCCGAGAATTTTCAAGATTATTGTGCCGGATATGGGCATCGAACTAGAAGTTATTCCTTCGACTGAGCCCACTTTATCGTTGTTGCATAAAATATTGTCTTTTAAAGCCTCGACACAGATTAAATTATAATCTGATCCAGTGTCTAAGAGTGCATTTATGCCTCCGTTGCGAAGCTCTGGACACTGGATATGAACCATGGGGCCCATCCCCGTGGTTAAGCATTTTGGTTGCTCCGAGTTTGAGCTTTTAACTCGCCGATTGTTATCCGCTGGTTGGGAGTTGGTTGTGTTGAGGATTGATTCTGGTATGGTAGAGGATCCGTTTGGGCTTTGGATGCTGGATTCAAGCTCTGGGAAGTGTTGTTCAGAGATTGATTCTGATGATTTTGGAGAATGGACCTCGGGTACGAACTCTGGTAGGTTGGATTGTGAGTAGGATAGGTGTTTTGAGGTCGATAGGTCGGGTTCGGAGACCAGCGTGGAGGCAAATTGGGCGTACTCGACATCGCCTCTGTTTGGCGAGCGCCCTGCCCGTTTAAATAATCGGGAGGGGGGCTTTTGCGCTCTCCTCTAGGGCAGAAAGGGCAGTCACAGAAGACTGAGGGGTCGATTTTATGACGACGCTTAGCTTCTTCAGAGTCTTCATCATTAGCATAATGGACCGTTTTACGGGTCGGGCCCAGAACTCCGGGATGATATCTGTTATTAATTGGGGGCCTAGAATAGCTTCGCAAAGGATGGTTGTTATACTGGTATGAATATCTTGGCTCAGTTGCACCAAATGTGAAAGCGGACCCTTGGTGAGGTCCACTGTGTCCTTCGATGGAGTCATAATACATTTCGTGGTCAGTTGGAGTAAAATATGAGTCGTGGGTTGGTGTTACTGCGAAAGATGCAGTGTCTTGATAGACTAGGGTGCGCTGATGATCGCGGTAATTTCCACGATCATCGTACTCCCGGGAAGGTCTGGGCATTTGAGGATAATGCCGATTACCTTCCAATCCTGGGGGGCCTGGACGCCTGTAGTACTCTAGCGCGGGTGGAAAAGCTTCTCCGACGACTGGGACATCTTCGTCGACCGTCCGCCGGCGATTTGGCCTACGGTGCGCGTCGCTCTCGATTGCGGCATACATTCTTTCGAGAGTCTCAGCTTTCCTGATTTTGCACAGACATCGAAGATAATCTGGCAAGTACTCGTAAAGAGTAGTAGCCGCAGTTTTTTCAAAAGTTCTTTTAACGACTTCTCTATCATCCTCTGGGGCATTCAACTCGATATATCTGATCATATCACTCAAACGGTGATAAAATCCTCGATGTTTTCGGATTCCTTAGGGACGGCAGATGCTAACTTTTTCTGCCAATTGATGTATGGGTCCCCTCGTTTGAGTTTTTTCGCTAGAGTCAAAAGAATATCTTCGACTGAGGTGAGCTCGACGTGCTCGACCAGTCGTTTGGCTCGACCATACAATTTCTGAGCTACTCTACGGGCAAAGTGATCTTGTCTTTCGACGGGAATGCTTGGGAGCCAGTTACGTACAATTCCTTCGAAAAGTTCAAATTTTGCCAAAACATCACTGCCTTCTCCGTTGAAATACGGGAGGGCATCAAATAGTTCTTTAGCGAGAGCTTGATGGTGTTGCGGGACATCTTCGTCCACCGCAGATCTATCTAGGCGGAAAGTCCTTCGATTGTTAGCCATTTCTTCAATGAAATGGATACTACAGGGGAAAAAGTCAGAGGCCCGACCGTGGCCTTCTATTAAGGGCTCCACCGTAGAAGGTTTAGAGAGAGAAGGAGACAAAGATGATTTACGAATTGAATTTATTTATGTATCTTTGTTGATCTCTTTTTATAAAAAAAAAAAAAAAAAAAAATTTTAAACAAACAAAAAAAATTTTCTTTTGAAAAGGAAGAGGAAATAAAAAAATTTCTCTCTTTCTCTTTTTTGTTTCTTTTGATATTGCTTAGATAAACTATTAGTAATCAGATATTTAATGCTTATATGAAAGTGTTAGATTTAAAGATTGAGAAACACTGAGTATTAAAGAAATTTGATACTCTACGTAACATTGAAGCATCAGTTTAATTTACACAAAAAAAAAGACAATTATCTTCACAAGTTATTTTAAGGTTATTCTGACTTGCAATACTGTGAAAAACAAAAAAAACAAAAGCGGAAAAAAAGTTTTTGACTTATTGAGGAGTATGGACGTTCTTAGATGTTAGCCTGTCTTCTTCCCTGTTTTTAGAAGCGGATTTTTTTTTAGCGTAGTGGATTGTCGCCTTTGTTATTTTCTCTTTTAACCATTCTCTAGGATTGCCCTCGTAACGAACCCAAGCCCAACTCAAAGGCGAAGAACCCGGATCACAAGGAATTAATTTGAAAACGGGCTCAGCAGTTTTCTCTCTAGAAGTTTTCAGAAGATGCTCGTAAAGACCAGCAGGAGCTACCTCGTTGAAAATGACCCTAGGTCCTGGTTTAGGGACTACCGCTGGAGTCTCGGGCGCGTCTTTTAACCAATACTCTGATTCTATTAGAGGGCGATGGTATACTTTTCCATTTACAAGGTCTTCATAAACTTTTTCTATTTGGTAATGACGGCCAGCACGCCTGGTTTCACCCATAAACCTTCAGAATAAAATTCTTGGGACGATGCTTCAGCACCTGAACCAAGAGTTTCACTCCCAAGTTGGATAGATAGACCTAGAGCGATCTGGACTACAGTATCCAAGCCGAAAACTCAAACCTTGAAATGAGGTATACACATTCCTCTAGTTAGAGGGCGCGTATTTGCGAATTTCATCAATCGAAAAAAAAAATTTTCCAAAATCGGTTGATATTACACCTACAAGTATTTATCCGACAACCGGCTGATTGTTTGCGAAGATTTTAAAAGAAAAAAAATTTATATATAATTTGAAAATATATAAACGTATAATTTGGAATTTAATTTTGTAAAATTCTAGTTTTGGGAGTGCAATCGCACCTTCCTCTCAAAACTTTTAGTGCTATAGCACCAAAAAGTCTGGAATGAAAAAAAAGAAAGTGCAGTCGCACCTATCTTTTATAAGGCGTTATTAGAACCTGGGTCAACCTTGACAGAGGAAGTAAGTTTCTTAGAGTACAGAGAATTTGCTGACTGGTACTCTGCGCCACGTGTAGTTGGCTTTCAATGTCGCGTTACCTGATACGCCT